AAAAAACGGCTTTTTCCCTATTCTGCTTTAAGCTTTTATATGGTTATTCATAGTAAGACATTCTGTTTTATGTGAATTACGAGGATAATGGGTTAGTGATATCTTTTGTTGTGAAATTTTGAGGGGTGCAGTGCAGAGTTATTGATTTTAACCATGGTTCGCTTTTATAGATAAACACAAAGAAGGGCACATAAGTCCACTACATGAGTGGGAGCTGGTCATCTTTTAAAGAAGCTCCTGCATTTTTTATTTGCTTTGTTAGGATCCTGAGGTGTGCAAGGTCTTTGAGTTTGATTGTGGTTCACAAATATAGAGAATAGAGCACATAGATCAGCACATGATAGGGAGTTGGTTACCTTGGTAAATAGCTCCAGCATCTATATCATCTGTTTTAGGTGATAGACGGGGTTTTGAGAATCCAATGTCTGTAAACCTTTACTCTGTGAGGATCCAATTTATTGTTGAGGCATAGCTAGATGCTGTGTAAGTTGGATGGACAAACTGCTGTAGCCAGTTAATAGTTGATTGTGTATTGAAAGAGTGCTTTATATGGGGAGTAGAATTAAAATCTTGCTACACGTGAGAGCTGTGGTTTTGGGGTGTGGAAAGAAAATACTCAGAAAGCGAGTGCTGTCTCTTTAAATATATCTAGTTACTTGCGCATAAAAGCATGCTTGACCATGACCCTTAAAATTATCTCTTGAATTTTCTTTTTGTTGTCATTTATGTACTAATATTTCAGCTTGTCTCTATTTATCAAATTCTTATGTATGCATTTAGAAATGGTGTTTGAAGAAGGCCTTCATTTCCTACAAACATTTTTATCATCAATGTGAATCTCGAGTGCGCAGAGCACCTATGTGGGGTTAGTGTCAATGGGAATGTAAAAGTTAAGAATAACAAATTACAACTTTAAGAAGAGAAGGTAGTGAAGGGTATTACATCAGTGGAAGAAAGCAGTCACTTTCTGAGCACTCAGTAGACTAATTGCGACTTACTGATTTAACCTTGTTTCAGATGAAAGAGTTCTTCTCTGGGGACAAAATCTTCAACAAAAAGCCACATTACTATCGAACTGCAGAAGTGGCCGATATGTGGTTTTCTCCAGAAGTTGTGTGGGAGATAAGGGGTGCTGACTTCACGGTGTCACCAGTGCATCATGCAGCCATTGGTTCAGTCCATCCATCTCGTGGTATTTCTGTCAGATTCCCTAGGTTCATTCGGTGTTTGTCAGATAGAAAACCTGAGGAATGTAGCACATCTGCAGATATAGCCGATATGTTCCGCGCTCAGACTAGAAAAATGGACGTGAATGTTGAACATTAATTGTAAATTTTGTTTATCCTAAAGGAACCTCCCTCTTCTCTCTCTCTCTCGCTCTCTCTCGTGTTAGCACATTACTAATGTACCAGAGTGTTTAACAAGCAGAAACATTGTTACTGGTGTGAGTTTGCACCAGTGGCGAAAGCCAGAAATTTTAGAAAGGGTGTTCAAAGTTTAATATATGTCTATAAAAACTAATTTTTGACCTATATACATAGTATAATTTTTTATATACTTAGTGTTCACTCTATGGGGCTACGCCACTGGTTTTGTACTTTCGTATCCTACTCAGAGAAATGCTGAAAGATTGTGTTACCTACAGGTTCAGCTTTGCTGTTGCCTTTGCTTAAAAAAAGTGGTAGCTCCCATGATAATAAAGAATCTACTGATCAAATCATATCAAGTTCACGCAGAGCAACTGCTTGTACATGACAAACTGGGTTAGTTTGGGCTTTGATCTGCGTCCTTAAGAAAATGTAGAAATTACATCGGGTAGTCACACTCTAAAGGGCTACTATTTAGGAATTAGCCGAGAAAATGTTCTGAAGTTAAGATTTTTAGTTTAAAATTTCAGGACAAAATAAGCATTGACTAATCTTTAAATAGAATCCCTGGGAATGGCTAGCACTTATCGCCCGGAGGTCCCGTTACTAGATGAAGTAAAGAGTTGTATAGTTCACATCAGTGTTTTAAAAGGCGTGGACGTAAGGCGAGGCGTTTTACAAATGCCTTAGTGGGGCGTAAGCCCAATAGATATTTAATTTTTAATATTTTATAAAATAATATAATTACAGTCAATATTTATAAACATGTAAAATTACATAAAAATTAAAGAAAAACATAAATATGTGAAATATATATATATATATATATATATATGCTCCATCCCCACAAAAAATTAGTCAAAACAATCTATTATACGCTACTTAGAAGCACAAGTAACTTGAGTCGAAAAGAATAAAGTTTTCTATATGAAGGAACAAAAAAGATGACTAACCTGCAATTTGAACTTTGAATTTGTTGTTATGAAGGAGAATGGAGCTCTCTTTGTATTTGTAAAAAAATTAAATATTTATTGATTTTGGGAGATATTAGCAGACTAGCTGACAAGATAAAAAATTGGGAAAGACCATGATTTAGGACTTCAATCAACAAAAAAGGTCTTGACTTTTAAATTTAATACATTTTAGTTCCTTTTTAAAACGTTTGAGTAATTACCAAGCTGACTTTTGAGAATTTGGGTATTATATGAAGGATTTATTCAATAAATTTTGTTTTAATTTGAAAAATTCTCTGGGCTTACGCCTCAAATGTTCGGGCGTACGCCCCGAATTGTTGGGCATACGCCTCTTGAGACTTTCACCCTAGGGCTCGCCCCGAAAACACCTTTTAAAACACTGGTTCACATGTATGAGTAGTTTAATTGCGAATGATAATGAATAAATTGCCATGCAATGATTAATAATGAAGGAATTGATTATCCAACGACTAATAAAGAAGATTGTTATGTAGGAAGTTGCATTAAAAAACAACAACAACAACAACGATCCAGTGAAATTACATTAGTGGGGTGTGTGGAGGGTAATGTGTATGTTTCCGAAAGACCCTCATCTCAAATTTGCATTAAAAACATTTTTATTTTTAAATAGTTTAAATCCCTATTATTGGTATGCATATAACATATTATCTAGCAGTATTATATATGTATAAACGAATGTATATAATATTTTACATTATTTAATGGAAATATATAAATTTCTCCCAAGAGCTATGAGGGACTTGATGAAAACTCCCGCCAGAAACCTACTATATCCGGTAGCCGGAGAAACAGCAGGTCACACCTATAAAACGAAATCATTTCGTCCGAGCAACTTCCCCCACAAAATAGAGGGGCTGCTGCTGCTTCGTTCTTTTGGTGTATTTTGTTCTAATCAGTTGCCTTTTACTTGAAATTGTTGGTCATGGCGGTGAAGAAAACTTGCTCTCTTTTGTGAAGGTTCTAGAATTTGAGCTCATCTTCGCTGAATCCGACATCCAGGATTCTCACCACTTACAGCTTTGGTTAGTTTCGCTACAATATGAGTGCGGTGAACATCACGAATGTCACCGTGTTAGACAATCCGGCGTCTTTTTTGACCCCTTTCCAGTTCGAAATCTCTTACGAGTGCGTTACTCCTCTCGACGATGGTGCTTCCTCTATCTCTTTCTTCCATTTTTCTCTTTTGCCTATTACTGGTACCTATTTTTGCATGTTGCATCTCGATACATATTAGGGTTACTTTTATATAAAGAGAGTTCACTGAACTGATTTGACTAATTTGCTTAGATTTTTTTCATATTGTTGGAATTAGTACTTGTGTATTTCATTGAAGCACTGGCCTTCGTGTTGCTAAGCTGTTGTAGAATCTTGTGACTTGAGTATAAATATCCAGAGGACAAATATATTAGTGTTTGAGGCACCTCAGTTAAAAGATACAGAAAAGGTTTGTGCATAAATTTGGTTGTTTTGCTAGAAGTAGGGTTCTACAGTGAGGTGATTCTTTCAATCATAAATATTGTCAATTGGTTGGCCTTGCTAGTATTTTGCGGGGATGAATAGCATCATATGAGCAATTTGTGTATTATCATTTGCTCAGAGGAGGTTGAATACGAATTATAGGAGTAATCAGCCTCGGGCTCATGAAAGTTGTGGATTCCTTCATGTTGGAGTTTATTGCACGGTGCACTTATCATGTTATATGTGCAGCATAAAAGGCATATATTTCCTCCTAATAGTCCGAATGTTATGCTGATTCTGATTGTGGATATTTGAATTTTAAGAATGAACTCGTTGTGAGCCTCTGCCTTTTATTTCATTTCACTTACAGCCCATGATCTAACTTGATGATCTGAATTAGATTATTTGCATGTGTGCCCAAAGCAATGAAACATCTTGGCCTGTCCCTTAAAGTATCCTTTATAGTTGGTTCAAGGTGGGGGAGGTGGTGTCTTGGTGTTAGTTCCAGCAGTAGCTTCAAGAAAAGGATTTTCATTTGCTGATGGCCCGCAGCTAAGAGATTCTAATACTACAGGAATTTCATAGTAATAATATTCAATACCATGTTTTATGTGAAGCATTAATACATTCAGCAGTCCTCCATTTCTAAATCCTCATGCACAAGATGAATTAAATAACCTACTTTGCATTTTTTCCTTTGGGGCTGTTTGGTCTGTTTATGGGATTCGAGGGTGCCATAATACCATCAGACTAGGGACGGATCTGGATAGAAGTTTTTTGTGAAATGGATTGTTGTGAGGAGATATAAAAAATCTTATAATGGTGAAAACCTGTATATGGGATTTAATGTAGTTTTTATTATTCGCTTGATTCATGTGATCCAGGGTGGAAAACAACTTTTGAACCCAGGTGTTCATCTAATTAAGTGTAAAAAAATGGCTGCTTGGTGCACAAAGCATCCCGCGTTCACACAGGGTCCGGGGAACGGGGAAGGGCAGCACCGCAAGAGGTGTGATGTAGACAGCCTACCCTAATGCAAGCATTAGTGGCTGCTTCCATGACTCGATTAAGTGACATCTAATTAAGTATCAATTAAGTAAAACATTTTCGTAAAAATTCATAGGAGTTGGTCTAGTGGCACAGTGGTTGGTAGACGTTGAAAAAACTCTGGAGGAGATGAATTAGTTTAAGACCCATGGTATGAATAATCCCCTCGGTAAAAGTGATATCTGCCTGGAGCCAGCCATCAGATCGTCAATTCAAAGAACAGACATAGGATAGTTTTGTGTAATTGCTTATTCACACCTAAAGTCAAACGGAAGGCGGATGTTAGTCCTTCGTAATCCGATTGAGCGTTATTTGCTTCCATGTCTCAGAACAGCAAATGATCATTAGGACCTCAACCATCTGTCCCAACTTTTAAGGACTCTATAGGTGGTTAACAGGGAAGAGAATGGGCTTAATGTTTTAGCATTTTTTTCGGGGACCTTCTATCTTACTCAGGAACTTCTGTCAATTTAAGTTTGTGATTCTGTCTGCTGCAGATTATGATGATTTTAGAGATACGTGCTTCTTTTGAACTAATTGGGAAAATTATCTTTGTTATATGCTAAAGTGAGGGGAAACAGAGTTTAATGCTGTTGTGGATTTTCTATTTTAGATGCATATTGTTCCAACTTAGTTTGCTTCTTTCATGTGCTATTGCGTATACCTTTTTATTTTTTTTATTTTTTTTGGGGAGGGGTTGGATAAGTAATGTGCTATTGCATATACTTACTTTTGTTATGTAAGTATCTGTCTGTTGAAAGATAATATATTTGCTTAATGAGGCCACCCTTTTTTAGGTGATCTGTTTGTTTTGGTAACACAGTTCCCTTCTCTTTTAGGATCAAAAGTTCAGTAAAATGATCTATGAATTGAATGAATAGAAGCTATATTCTTTGCGGATAAAAATTCTCCCACCAAATTGATTTTTATTATTTAAAAAACTGAGTGCGTTCTGGCTGTTTCATGGATTAAGACTACCAAGTACCAAGTGTGCCACTTATTTTCTTTCTTTAATCTGATTTATTTGATTCATATGGGTCTAAATGGAGCACATGGTTAGTGAGGATTCATGCAGTTGACCCCAATTAGCTCGGGATTGAGGCTTAGTTGTTTGGTTGACGTTGTTGTAAGTATAATTTATTTGATTTTGGTTGCATCAGGTAATCTGTTTGTCATATGCTCTGCAGATTTGGAATGGAAGCTTATCTATGTTGGATCAGCTGAAGATGAGACATATGACCAACTTCTAGAAAGTGTTCTTGTTGGCCCCGTAAATGTTGGAAATTACCGCTTTGTCTTGCAGGTATTATCTCCTGGATTTCCAATGGTTCATTATGGAACTAATGCTTTGTCTGCCTCATTGAATTTATGCTATATCTTATACTAATGCTTTGTCTGCCTCATTGATTTTATGCTATATTTTACAATCTTGATGCTAGGCGGACCCTCCAGATCCTTCAAAAATTCGTGAAGAAGACATTATTGGTGTCACTGTGCTCTTGCTGACCTGCTCATATGTGGGGCAGGAATTTGTACGAGTTGGCTACTATGTGAACAATGATTATGATGATGAGCAACTGAGGGAAGAGCCTCCACAAAAAGTCCTAATTGATAGGGTTCAAAAAAATATATTATCAGACAAACCCAGAGTAACAAAGTTCCCTATTAACTTTCGCCCTGAAAATAGTGAAAGAGAGGAGCAAGCCCCTCCACCTGATCACGTGGTTGAAGAAGATCCAAACGAAGGGCAATTGCCTTTGCCTAAGAGTAAATCAGAAGAAGATGGAGCCTAATATGAAGATGTTTACTTTTTTTTTTCTAATGTTTTCTGTTTTGGTTTGACAGTATTGTGCTTTGGAAGGAATCTCATCCGGGGTTCTCGTGGATGATATCTGATCACCAAAGCCCGTCTTTTTTCGCCTCCTCTTCTTGTGATTTATGTATCAAGTCCAGTCACATTTTGAAGCAGTTAACCAGGCTGGTTTTTAGGGTTCAGAAGCAACTGTATGTCGTCTAGATACCAATTTTGGCTTTAAAATTTGGTCCAAATTGGTTGATATGCAGACTCTAATGACCTTATGGAACTGATGGTCTTGATTTTATTTTTGTGCATCTGAAGTACAATCAGCAACGTTATTAAGCAAGATATCTTTTTATCTAGTGACATTCTTTGGCATCCATCAGTTGAATCACATTAATCAGAAGAGGAAATTTCCACGAGATGATTGCTGGTACATTCTTCTCCCTCAGCAGTATGCTAGCATAGGGACCAGTAATTCATGCAATGTTTATGTTTCATTTGATGCCCCTTTTTTGACGGAATTGTAAGTGATAAGACATAATTAAGCAGTTGTTGCCTTGTTGGTACATAATCAGTATTCATGTTGACGTGCTTTTATATATCCAGTGGGGGCACTTATGAACCTCTAGACTCTTATTCTGGACTGACTTCTAAGTCAAGTTTGTTCAATTAGTTGATATTTACACCGATAATCCAACATCACATCGAGGAAAAGCTGGCATAAAATGGGGTAGAAAACTTCACGAAAAAGATAGAGATCCACTTGGCTCGGATAATTGTTCTCAATGAGTATGAAACGGAAATGAGAAATTTTCCTCTTCTTTGTGTATTGCCGTTTTCAATTTCATTTTGAGACGTCAAAGGCCACTTGTTAACATGTGTCGGGCACGTTTCGTCAAACCTATTAGTAATGTGTAAGGAAAATATATTAATTAGATCACAATCGGTGCGAGCCTTTTACTCCAAGTTTTAAGACAGGTCACCTAATGTAATGTCTAGGTGTGCATAAAGTGGTTCGAGCCTCACTAATTTTCAAAGAACAACAAGAGTGATAATATGTCATAGTGAAAACTTGATTGAGGCGTGTGTAAATATTAACATTTTATTACAATAAGTTAAAGGATGGCATAAATGTGTACGTGGACCGGGTTTGTTCGGATTTTATCAAAACCAAACCAAACCAATTATATCGGTTAGGATTGATTCGGTTTTGTCGGGTTTTCAGGTTTTTTTGTTACATGAATACTATTTCAATTTTGTATTATTAAAGTTATAGATAAAATTTTGATAAGTGAATATATATTTACTAAAATTTAAAAAAAATAACAAACATATGATCTATTAAAGTGATCTTATGGGAGAATATTTTTTAGTAACACATGATAGTTTATTTTCTTAGTCGTCTACCAATAATTTTTGGTTGATGTACGCTTTTAGGGTTAATCAAATTTAATAATTAAACATAAAAATCAATATGATACCTAAATAATGATATGTTCTATGTAATTTTAGATTATCAAAATACCACTTCAAAACATATAATAATTCTTGACATATGAATATGAAAGAACAAAGAGATGATTGACACATTTCAATAACACATAATAAGAAAGTGATACAATCTATTATTTAAAGTAAATAAAAATGAATGCACTTTATAGTTCTATTAAATCTTATATCCCATGAGAGGATCTCAAATATTTGTAGACATCTTTTAAATAAAATTCTATATAAAGTCTTAAAATTATATAATTATATGTCGGTTTAGTTCGGTTTTTTTACTCAATACCAAACCAAATCAAACCAAACCTAGTCGGGTTTTTTAATCGATTTGGTTTGACTTTTCAGTTTGGTGCGTTTTTCGAATCGGTTTGTACACTCCTAGGCATAATGCCACATTGCTTAACACGCATACCTTAATTTTCTTAGTCGGTCAAGCTTAGGGATACTGGATCTGGATTTATGGAGGGAGAGTCTTACAGAAATGTCCAAAATAAGCTTAAACTTTCCAACCTTTAGTCATTAATTAAATACTTATCAAAACTAGCAAAACGCATATAAAAATTAAAAACTTAGATAAATAAGGATTTTTTATCTCCAAGAATCACAGGAAAAGACCTCCTTTCATATTTTTAAATGTGATGCAAGACGGAAAGAAAATTTTATGGATAAAGTAGCAACAAGATGATGAAACACAGAAAAAAATACAAGATTCCAAACCTAAGCAAAAAGGTACCTTTTTCAATTGGTGTTGCTGAGATTCGTTGAGAACATATAGATGAGTCATATATACAAAATTTGAGGAAGATGAGAGGTGATTTGGACTAATTTAGTACTCCCTCCGGTCCACTTTAATTGATTTTTTGCCTTTTTTTGCGGTCCACAATATTTTATTTTTTCAAATATCAAGAAGAAATTAACTTCTTTTTATCCAAAGTTGCCGTTAGAGTAAATAGTCTAGGAGTGTTTATTATATTTTCAATGAACAAATTAAGGTTAATATGTTCAATTTTATTGTTAATTAATGCTAAAAAGTGAATTTCTTAATATGTGTGAAAATAATCGAAAAATTAATTAAAGTGGACCGAAGGGAGTATCAGAATTCGTAGTTAAACTCAAGTTTTTTTTCTTCTTTCTACGACACAAGTATCATGCATGTATCTCAAGCATAAGTACACATGGATATACATTTGATACAACTATGATACATATGTGATACACATATCATCTTTTTTCATGGTCATCTTCTACTTCGAAGTTTCAATTTAAACAACCTCGAAACTCCATCAAATCATTCAAAATCTGAGATTCAAACACCGTAAGATGTACCTAATTTATTCCAACAACACCCACTCAAAAGAAAGCAAAAAAATATTTTTTTTGCTACAAATAGCTAATTTGCTAATATTGGTAATATTTTATAAATTGACTAATTTTTATACAAGTTATTTATGGAATGACATGACTGGGAGTACTAATTATCTTATCTAGGATTTGAAGGTAATGAGTTCTCTAGCGTAAATCTAACACTAGTCACAAAATTATAGTCGAGGTATATTTTGGATTAATTTGGTCTAGTTAATTTAATTTTCTGGTCATAATCATCAAATTGAAATGAGTTCAATTCATTTTTTTGACCAGGTTAAATATTCTGTACACACCATCAAAATAGAGAGAAAATTGGTAAAGATTTTTGAATATTTTAACACGTCAAATTGGGTCTAAGGCTCTAAGCTATTATGCTCGACGATTTACATAGATAGTAATACTCTTCTAACTTTATATAAGATCCAAATTCATGTCATTCTTTGATACTCAGTTTATTATCTTCCACTATTAGCTTTCTAAGTTTTTAATAAAAGCTTTTAAGTAAAGTAATTGGAGTGTATTAATCAATTTAGAAATAAAAGGTTGTAAAAATCTCAGTATTAAATTGCAAACCTACTTTCTGAACAGTTTTCTCATAAGTTGGATAATAATTAATTGATTTTTATTCTTACTCATGTGTAAACATAACTTGTTAAGGAGCAAAAAAAGAAGAGAAACATAAATCTAGTTTGGCCAAAATCAATCTAAACTGGGCGAAAGTACAAGGGATAAAATAAAGAGCAAGGAATGAGAATTGAGATGAAAGGGGCGGTAAAACGGGAAAGAAAATGTAACGTGGAAGATAAATCTATAGGCTACAAAAAAAAAAAAGGAAAATTGAAGAGAAAAAAAAAGAGCCTTGCTCACACATATGAAATTAGCGATACTTTCATATGAATTTATCCAAAATTATTCGGCACTATTAATTAAATTAGTGAAGCAAATTATGTTTTTTCTTTGATAGATCTTTTCAAATAAATTTAACTTTTTTTAAATTATAAAACTAGCAAGTGAGGTTCATATATTCAATCTAACTTATTTAGAATTGAAGCGATATTGTTGTTATAAGATTTGCGATAGTTAGTATTTTTATAAAAAAAATTAAATATATAAATGTTACTTTAGAAATCTATGAAATCAATATCTGACATATGAAATTAAATTCTTGTTTGGCAATCGTTCGGTCAAAGAATCAAAAGAAGGAATCAGTAGGCAAAAGCAAAACCAATTTCGTCATTCCAAACACTGCCTCCGACAACTTCAGCCGCCACTCCAATATCTGGTGTAGGCATATCTAAATCTAATATTCTGACGGAACAGATATCTATATCTATATATAAGCAAACACGTGTTCCCATTTCTAAATATACCAATTGATTCTCTCGACTTTCCCAAAAAATCAAATCATCAGTAAAAAAACCCACACTGTAGAGTCATCCGTTTAGTAAAACTCCTCCAATGTCTAATTCCGATCACCAAAACCCATCTGCTATCGATGGCAACACCTTCGTTGCCATGTGCCTTGCACGTGCCGGCGTAGACCGGATGTTCGGCGTCGTTGGAATACCCGTTACTTCCCTTGCGAACCGGGTGGTCGCTCTCGGTACCCGGTTCATTGCTTTCCACAACGAGCAATCCGCCGGTTATGCTGCTTCAGCTTACGGCTACCTTACGGGTCGACCCGGTATTCTCCTCACCGTTTCCGGTCCCGGTTGCGTTCACGGCCTCGCCGGACTTTCCAATGCAACCGTTAATACATGGCCCATGGTCCTGATTTCCGGGTCATGTGATCAGAAAGATTCGGGCCGGGGCGATTTTCAAGAATTAGACCAAATTGAAGCTGTTAAACCCTTCTCTAAATACTCAGCTAAAGCTACTGATATAACGAAAATCCCTAGCTGTGTTTTCAGTGTTTTGGATAGGGCCATGTCGGGTCGACCCGGTGGTTGTTATTTGGATCTTCCTACTGATGTACTCCATCAAACTATTAGTGAATCTGAAGCCCAGAAATTAATCAATGATGCTGAGAATTGTAGGATTAAGGAGGTTAATCTTAAACCCATTGTTAAACATTCTGAAATTGAAAAGGCGGCTGCTTTATTAAGGAAAGCAGAGAGGCCTTTGATTGTGTTCGGAAAAGGGGCTGCAATTTCTAGAGCTGAAAATGCTTTGAGGAGTTTAGTTGAAAGTACTGGAATACCCTTTTTGCCAACACCAATGGGAAAAGGTTTATTGCCTGATAATCATGAGCTAGCTGCTACTGCTGCTAGATCACTGGCAATTGGTAAATCTGATGTGGCGTTGATAGTTGGCGCGAGGCTTAATTGGCTTTTGCATTTTGGAGAGCCACCAAAGTGGTCTAAGGATGTGAAGTTTATTTTGGTTGATGTAGCTGAGGAGGAGATAGAGTTAAGGAAACCGTGTTTAGGGTTGGTTGGTGATGCTACTAAGGTTGTTGAGATGTTACATAAGGAGATTAAGGATGACCCTTTTTGTTTGGGGAAGTCTCATCCTTGGGTTGAGGCATTGGCAAATAAGAGTAAGGAGAATGTTTCCAAAATGGAGGCACAGCTGGCAAAGGATGTTGTGCCGTTTAATTTTATGACACCAATGAGAATTATTAGAGATGCAATATTGCAAGTGGGCAGTCCTGCTCCTGTTGTTGTCTCTGAAGGTGCAAATACTATGGATGTGGGACGATCAGTATTAGTTCAAACGGAGCCAAGG